GAGGCCACTTTTAGGCAACAGGCTTGAGCGATGGAAACTTGAGCAAGGCAAAAAGGCCCACAGTGACCATCGAGCTGAATGCAAACAGGCTCCTTAAGCGACCCACGTGGAAAAACGGCCACAGACCCTAACTGACCAATGAGCTACTTACAACCAGGCACAGTTACCAAAAAAGGGAAAATTCCGCATGTCCCCCTACCTCTTCACTCCGCACTGCTGCCCTGCCCGCTGTTCCCTGGCGTGTGTTCAATAAACTGCTCTCTCCTTTGTTCTGCCCTGAGTGAATTCTTTCAGGGCCCACACCACGGGCCCCCACCCAATTGGGGCATTTAAATACAAACAGAACGTTTAAAATTCATATGCTGTGGCAGGTATCAAGTTGGTTCCTTTTTATGGCTTTCGATTTGTTCATGGTACTATTTGCCATAAAGCAAGATTTTAAAAAATTGTACATGTCCCTACTTCTATAGCTTCTGAGTTTCTTGATTTATTTTTTAATTTATTTTTAAAAGAGTTATTTATTTATTTGAGAGAGAGAGAATGAGAGATAGAGAGCACGAGAGGGAAGAGGGTCAGAGGGAGAAGCAGACTCCCTGCCGAGCAGGGAGCCCGATGTGGGACTCGATCCGGGGACTCCAGGATCATGACCCGAGCCAAAGGCAGTCGCTTAACCAACTGAGCCACCCAGGCGCCCCTGAGTTTCTTGATTTAAAATACCTTTCCAACTCTTGAATTATATATAGTCATCTAAATATTATTCTAAGATTCTTGGGGCGCTGGGTGGCTCAGTTGGTTAAGCGTCTGCCTTTGGCTCAGGTCATGATCTCGGCGGGGGTGGGGGGGGGGTTCCTGGGATGGAGTCCGGCCTCGGCTCCCTGCTCAGCAGGGGAATCTGCTTTTCCTTCTCCCTCTCCGCTCCTCTTCACTTGTGCGCGCGCTCTCTCTCTCTCTCTGTGTCTCAAAAAAATAAATAAAATCTTAAAAAAAATATTATTCTAAGACTCTTACTCTTTATTTTATATACTTAAGCCTTTAATTCATTTGGAAATTCCTGTGGAAGATGATGAGAATAGGGATCCAACTTTATTTTTTCTCATGTACCTCAGTTTTGCCAGCACCATTTTATTAAATGAATCATCTTTTTTTCTCACAACACTAAAAATTACCTGCTGGTCTTTATTTATCCAGACAACTGACAAATATGCAGGTGAAGTACTCCTGACTGACATTACTTATCTCATGCCCAGAAGGGTCAAAGATAGGTATCTTTTGAAAAACAGACATGATATCACTCTCCGGCTCTTAAAACTCTTCAAGGGCATGGCGCTGCCCTCAGAATCAAGACTGCCTGTGGCCCCTTCTGATACCAATGCCAGCATCATCTACTGCACCCTCCCCTCACCCCTGCACTCCCATCCCCCGCCCGGGCTTCTCCCAGCTCCTCAAGCTCTCATCCCTCCTGTCTGCTCTACAGAGAAGGCTTCCTCTGCTTGGAGCGCTTACCTGCCCTTCTCCCACCCACCCAAGCCTGGCCATCTCCCACTGTTCCATCAAGTCGGCTTAAACACCATTTGTTCACCAAGTCATCCCCAGCCCACAAAGTGGGGAGCCCTACTCCCCTCACCCCCATACGCTTTCCTCTCAAAGGCCTTCGATTGCGCTGGTCTTCCTCAGGGCACTGCGCACACCTAGAGTAAGTAGCTATTTGCTTCGCATCCTCCTCCCCAGGATGCGGAAGCTGCACGAGGGCAAGGACCATTTCTATTTTGTTCACCACTACACTCGTTTTTGTTCCCCGTTACCTGGTCCAAGAAATACTAATTACGAAGGAATCAGTAGGAACAACGAACACAGCACAACATCACAGAACGCCACCAGGAAAGTCACAGAAGAAATACAAAAAGGCAAATAAAACATGAAGATGGTCAATGCACTAATGATTTAAGAAAAAAACCCAACAGATCATTAGATCAGAATAAATTGGTACAACCTTCTGCAAGGCAACATGCTACTATCTTTGACCAGATGATTCCATGACAAGGGTTTTATTCTACAGAACACTCATTCAAGTAAGCAGAGATATGTACAGAGCTTTCTCGGCAGCACTGTTTCTAACAGGGAAAAATAAGAAACAACCCAAATGGCCACAATTGGGCTTTAAGGAAATTATCATTTGGTCCTATAGTACTATGTTGACATGAAAAGGTATCCAAGATATACTAAGTCTAATAAAACAAGTTGCACTTATGTAAAAAATACTATTATTAAGTCCCTCACGATGAAAAGCTTAAAATCTAAATACCAATGATTATAGTTGCATATATATATATATTTTTGAAAACGCTAAAAGAAATATAACAGTGGTTATCTCTGAAAATTGCTATTCCTTTTTTAATTTATTCATGTTCACAATGGTTATTTTAACTATGAGAATATGTTAATTTTTTAATTAGGGAAAGTATGTTGCTTTTTAGGTGTCATCTAAAGTGAAACCTGATTTTTTACAATGTCAAAAGTTCTCAATTTATAAAAGTGTATCCATAAACTTTAGACAGATTTCCAAAACTGATGGCCAGGAAAAATGATGTTCATTTCAATTTGATAAAACTACTGTTACTGTACTGTCTCTACAAACATGCAATTAAAATTAAGGAAGCAAATCTAAAATATTAGATCAAGACTGTTTACTCATTAGTCAAATGCTCGAGAGTGTATTTATTTGACTGATATCTCTTAAATTTATGTATTTCCAGTAGTATACAATGCACAAAATATAAACATTTTACTGCAGTCACCTTGAAATTCTTGACTGTTTGACAATTCAGGTTTTTGAGCACATGTTCCTCCTAAATATCTCACTCTACAACCGAAGCTAGTACTTAAAAATATTTTTCTAATAGAATGAAATCTAAGTATATCTTGTATTTTCTGAAAGCAAAATCTACTCTGCAATTGACAGGGTTTTCTGTGCTTCTCAAATAATGGGCAATTAAGAGTTAATATTATTTAACAATTTTTGTACCAGGCACTGACTCGTACCACTTGGTGCCCTCTGTCTCCAGAGACTAAGACAAACTACACAAACAGCTCCGAGGAGAATCAACATTTCAACTACGGATGGTGAGATAAGCTTAGTTTTGACTTTAAGGTTTTTTCTCCTTTCTTTCTATGCTGCTTTGAATTTCTTGGATGAAGGAATGAGTTACACCCACTTAAACAGGTAACAAAACACACCCCACAGAACTCACATAGTCTGCACATGAAATTTAAATTGTTATTTTTTGGGAGAGCAATGACACTCTACAATCAAAAACTTTAAAACTGTGTGTGCTATTTATCTGCCTTGGTAATTCCAATGCTAGAAATTGAATGAAAATAATCCAAGCTATGTTCAGAATTTATATATTATCTTCATAGCACTTTTCTATAACAGAAAAAAAATGAAACATCTTGTAACGTGGGTTTAGTTAAATACTTTGTAGTATGATATGACTATGTGAAAAATCACTACATACAAAAAAGAAGCACAAGAAGAACAGTCCATTTTGTCTCACCCTGCTAAAATTAAGCACACTGAAAGCAAGGACTTTGTTTTACTCGCTGCTTTATTCCTAGCCCTTAGAACAATGCCTGGCACACAGGAGCCACTCAAAACCTTATAAATGAATTCGAGTAATGGAAGTGTGTACAGAAAAGATTTTAGCGGGGCGCCTGGGTGGCTCAGTCATTAAGCAGACTCTACCTTCAGTTCGGGTCATGATTCCAGGGTCCTGGGATCGAGCCCTACATCGCCCTGCATTTGGCTCCCTGCTCGCGGGAAGCCTGCTTCTCCCTCTCCCACTCCCCCTGCTTGTGTTCCCTCTCTCGCTGTGTCTCTGTCAAGTAAATAAATAAAACCTTAAAAAAAAAAAAAAAGGTTTTAGCTAGAAACACATACAGCAGACTCATGTAACATGTCCATTTACTTTACCGGAATTCAACTGTCCAGACTAAGAAAAACAAAAGAAGGAAATGCCATAAATCATGCACCCTAGTCTGCTTTGGAGTGAGAATCCAGGGAGAAGCTGAGTCTGCTGCCCCCTCCTTAGATCTCAGATCACCGTGGCTCTCACACAGTGGATACCACACTAGACAAGAGTGGTTCTAGAATTTAACACACAATATGGCCCCTAAATATAAGCCAACTACTTACTCTCATGCTCTGCCCCCCCCCCAAATACTAATTTTCTCCAAAATCAGGCTTTTTAAAAGGACTTCCAAGGGGAAATGTTGCCTTAGAAGAGAACTTCAGAACCTTGCCTTCCCACCTCCAAATAAAATTCAACTCTACTGTATGCCATGGTGATAATCACAGCTATATCAGGTGATGAATATGCACGTTTTCTTTAATTTTTTTTCTAATACATCTACAATTAGCAAATGTTACTTTTGCAATAAAAAAAAACTCTGATTTTTTAAATAGCCCACAACAGTCCTTTCTACATTCACGACAGAAATGCTAGGGAAAAAAAAAAAAAAGGAAATGCTAGATCTGGTATCAATATTCCTCTACTTGACCTAAAATAACACTACTCCTATAGTATGGCTATAAAAGTACTCATGTACTCATGCAGCACATTATTTTCTCCTATCCCTCTAGGCTACTTTAAACAACTTTTTTTTTTAAAGATTTTATTTGAGAGAGTGAGCGAGAGAGAATACATGAGCAGGGGCAGAGGGAGAAGCAGACTCCCCTGCTGAGCAGGGAGCTCGCCGTGGAGCTGGATCCCAGGATCCTGGGATCATGACTTGAGCCGAAGGCAGGTGCTTAACGAACTGAGCCACCCAGGTGCCCCTACTTTAAGCAATTTTTTATTAATAAACATGTAACTCAAACTATATACCTTTCCAACAAGAATAAGGCAATTTTCTATTTCTATTACAATTCACTTAAATTTGTATGAAATAGCAGAGTTCCTTACTGACATGCAAATTAAAAAATAATATTAATAATAAGGTACCTGAACATCATAGAGTGCTACAATATTTTCATGCTGAAGTTCCTGTTAAGGAAATTGAGAATTTAAAATATTTGTGATCACTCTTAATACATATATTTCAATATGCAAATAAATATTAAGTACACGCACACATTAGGTAGTATATACTCTTTCTACATACTACACTTCCATTACTAGATTAGAACAATTCAATCTACAAAAGAATAAGAGGAAATGTGCCTGATCAAACTTTACTTGAGCCCTAAATGTTTTTTCACCAGGATCATTTTTTAGACTCTTAACAAGGTTGAGTACTCTCATTTACAAAATAAATGTCACAGTTAGTATGACCACAGACTCTCTGGGAGTCTTTTCAAATTCAATATACAGCTCTAACGGCAATAAAGGCATGAAATTCCAAAGTGCTTTTAAAGCACACTTTAAAGCGTTATTTGCCTGAACGAAAATGAAGCATAATTCTTAGCTCAAAGAGCTGTAATTCTTACCAAAGAGCTCTCCACAGAGGAGCAGTTTCGATGAAAGCTGGTGTGAGGTGAGAGCTCTACGTTCACATCAGCTTGGGGAACACTGAGTTAAATACACCTAAGCCAGTTTCTTCATGGCGCAATTTTTCAGATTTTTCTTTGCCGAGCAAAGGGTTTTGTGACTCTCCAAGAAGTATGCAGTAAACAGGATTTTCCATACGTATTTGACGAGGCAACCATTTTTTCCCCAAAGCACCTCACTTGGGTAACACTGCTTGTGGGTGATCTAAAAAGACCACTTCCAAGGTAAATAATTTGTTTTCAATTTACAAGGAAGAAAGTTTCCATCTGCCCCCAGGCCCCCCCAAATACTTAAGTGTCACCTGAAAGGGATCAAGACAAGAGCTAAATAATGGATAAGAAAGGTGTGCCCCTTCTCAAACAGTAACACAGTAACCAAGGAAAAGAAGAAATTAGGAGAAGCTAAAATCAGTCTTCACAGAATCCCTCTAAGCCAACGAGCCACAAACATCTATTCTTTAAAAATAGCTTCCGAGTACTCAAATTGTCTCAAAAAACTGAGCATGCAAAAATGAGAGCAACAGGTGAAAATTCTCAAACTTGGCTCCAGGGACCAAAATTACAAAAGATGTCATCATGCATTAATTTAAAATAAGTTTTAACCCAGTATGAAATATCACATAAAGAAACATACCTTTAAGATCTTAATTTCCTTCCCAAGCAGTATTTGTGATTTTGACAAGTTCTTTTTATTAATACTTTTAATAGCTACCTCCCAATCAGTTTTCTGAAAAGGAAAAACAGTGTTACTCCGGGAAATTATTTTATAGAAACATAATCTATAAGCACAAAGGTGTTTTTAGCAAATTCATAAACACTGGGGGGGGGGAATGGAAAAGAATCTGAATCTCCAACAATAGGAAAATGATTTCATAAATTACAAGCTGACGTCCTACAAGACAGCCACTAAAAATAATAAATACGAAGACCACATAGTAACGAGCATGAAATGAAACAAAGGACAAAATTTACAACCACTTTAAAGTTTTGGAGAAATGCGGGTAATAAACTGGAAGGTGGTATTTGATAGCTTGGCAAGATTTGGCCCTGTTTTAATCACTTTTTGTCGAGTTTTCAGTTATTCCCATAATAAAGGAAAGTAGTTTTTATTACTCTGATAAGCAACAAAACCAGCCCGCTTTTAACAGGCCCCTTGCCAACAACCAGGGCTACCGAAACCCCTTTGATCATTTCCACTCCCTAGGTGCTCTTCCAAATTCTTTAGATTCGACAACCTCGTGGGACCCTATTTGCGGAACAGCAAGAGCTTTAAAACATTTTTGAACCGGCCTTCATGTTTACTTGGATTGAAAAATGAAGCGTCCAACCCTCTCTCCCACCCGCCTGTCTAACCCCAGAAAGGCAAGGTGGTACGGGGCTCGTCCGCGTGTTGAGGAACCAACGCTGGGAAATGTGATACCCCCCACCCCCACCCCGAGTTTGAGAAAGTCTCGGGCTAACGGGAAACCAGCCCGTTTTCCGCTGGGTCTGCAACTATCGACCTCAAAAGGGACAAGCCCTGGCAGCCCAGGGTGCGGAAAAACCTCAGATGCGTCCACGCCCGGGCTGCGGGCTGGGCAGGGGACCGTGTGCAGGCCTTTCGGACTCGGATCCTGGGCACATTCAGGGGGAAAGGCACGTCCCAGCGGGCCGGGCGGGCGAGCGAGCCCCTAAGCGCGCTCTGGTTACCAGGCGCTCTGCAAGGAGGAAATCAGAGGCCGAGCGGCCAGTCGGTAGGTGGAGCGCTGCCTAGCGGCTTCGGCCTCGAAACAGCCCTCGCCCGACCAAAACAAACCCCGCGACACTGACAGCGCGCACAATGGCAGGCCTCAGGGCGGCGAGCCAAGCCGGGGGGGGGGGGGCCTCTGCGCCCGCGGCGTCGCCAAGTTTCAGGACCATCCAGTCCCGCCGCGGCCGCGCGGACGGGAGGGCGGCCCACAGACCCCGGCCTCGCCCCGGCCGGCGGGGCTCACCTGGCGGTGCCGCCCCCGGAAGACCACGGCGAAGGCCCCGTGTCCCACGAGGTCCCTCTTGCTGTACTCGAAGTCGCCCACCACCTCCATGGCCGCGCCCCCGGGGCATACAGCGGGCGGGCGGGCGGCGCAGCGAGGCAGGCCCGGCTCAGCACCGCGGGCCCGCCGGCCCGGAGCGCGCCCGCGGGCCGCCGCACTGGGGCAGCCGCGGCCCCCGGCCTGGGCGGACGCTCATGCCGAGAGACCGGAGCGGAAACGGGGGAGGCCTCCGCGCGGGGCCGGGGGTCAGCGAGGCCTGGCCCGGCCCCGGCTGCTCCTCATGGCCCGGCCCGCCGCCGGCCGAAGGCTCCCTTGGCGAAGCGGCCTCAGCGCTGCCCGGCTAGGGGCGCCGCAGCGGTCACTGTGCGCCCCCGGCGCCGCACACGCGCCCGGGAGAGGTGCGGGGCCCGGTTCTCCCCATCCCCAGCTCGTCCCGCCGCGACGGCCCCCTCAGCCCGCGGTGCTGCTGCGGTGGCGGCCGCCGCCCTAGGACCAGCACAACCACCGACCCTGCGCGCCTCCCCGCCTCGCAGGGACACCCAACGCACACGCGCGCGCCGGCCGCTCCCGAGCCGACTGCCGGCCCTCCGCGACGTCAGCACCTCTTGTAGGACGCAGCGCCCGCCGAAGCCCGCTCCCTCCGCCAGGAAAATGAGTGCGCGCGCGCCCCGGGGCGCGGCGCTGCAGTCGAGGCCAGTCCCCCCCAGGAACTGGCCCAGGCGGGGAAGTGGGATGCGAGCCGCTGAAACCACAGCTCGTTACGCGCTGCAGCCTTCGCGCTGGGCCTGGGAGCAGATTCGAGCCGGCCACACCCCGGGCTGGAGCCCACTGGGAGGCGGGCGTTGGGGAAGCAGGTCTTGAACCCCCAACTGCCGGAGGGACCGGGCATCCCTTGTGCAGTACAGACCCCCAGGGAACCGGTCAGGGTAAAGGAGCATCTCCTAGAGCCCGGCTTTCCCCGCGCCCTCTGAAAGCGGAGGTCCTGCTGCCAAGCTGCGGGTCTTTCCCGACCCTTCTGGGTTTACTCCCCCGGGTCCCTGAAGAGATGGTGTCGGGCAGGGGTTCTGCACATTTTGGGGTCCCTTGACTTCTGTGAGAAGCTGATGACAGCACAGGACCCTCTTCCCGGAGAAATGTTTATGCACGCAGACTAAGTATCGAATACGTTTTCCACGGCCCTGAGGATGAGAACCCCTGCTTCCAGCCACCAGGTATCCTGCCAGTTGACCTCAGGCTTACCTTTGAATGGCTTTAAGGGAGCTTGCTTTTCTACCTGATTATTGAAGGTCAAGTGTCAAAGAACTTATCTGGCAACTTTCCCTCAAGGATATGTCTTACAAAACCATTTTATAAACAATAAACTTGAAAATATCCTAGAAAACTCAGGCCCTATACTATCCTGGTATGTTCCATTGTTTAGAATGTTTGCTCTCAGGTTGTTCCTTAGCACCAGAATTACATTTCCCACCCCAGGTCCATCCCCGCAAACTGACCTGAAGGCGGCACGGAAACCCTAAGAACCTCCAGCTGGAATTCTCAGAAGCAGCCCCTCCCTTCCTCAAACCTTCAAAATGTAGGGTCTTAGATCTCTGTTCTCACTTCTGTGCACACCTACGTCATTCTATCCCTATCTCAAAATCTAGCCCAGGTGACTGTTGGACACTATGGAAATCCGGAGCCTTCAAAAAGGAAAAGCAAAGGAAGCAAGTATGCCCAGAGAGACAAAAATTCATCTGGAGAGGATTCTTTCCCTGTTTGAAACTTCTCTATTGTAAATCTTTAAATATGGTTATTTAAATAAGATATAGGATTTTTAAAAAAGATTTTATGTATTTATTTGAGAGAGAGTACAAGGTGGGGGGAGGAGCCGAGGGAGAGGGAGAAGCAGACTGGCTGCTGAGTGGGGAGCTCGTCCCAGGGCTTGATCCCAGGACCCCCGAGATTGTGACCTGAGCCAAAGGCAGACGCTTAACAGGCTGAGCCACCCAGGTGCCCCAGCACAGAGGATTTAATGTGCCAATCCCCTCCACCACCAAAAAAAAAATAGCTCTTCAGGAATATGTATCTTATGGGCTATAGGACCCTGAACAAGTTACTTACAACCTCCCGTGCCTCGTTTCCTCATCTGTAAAATGAAGAAGTAACAGTAACTGCCTCATCAGGTCCATTAAGTGAGTTAAACATGTGAAGTGCTTAACCAGTGCCTGGCTTGTACAAAGAACTATTTAAGCAATCACCAGGTAAGTAAAGTGAAATCAAAGCTGGCTTTCAGCAGTACTTCCCCAATCCCACACCGGTGCCCTTAGGATTGTTCCCCCTTCCCTCCTCTGTCTACTTCCCCAGTGATTCTTCTGTGAACAGAATCAAAGCTTCTCAGCTCCAGAGGTGGACCATCTATACCCATGTAAGAGTGGTTTATCTAACACACGTCTGGAGAATTCTACCTATAAAATTCCCTGCAGGAACAATTAGTATACATTTTTTGGATAGCAGAGAGCATTGGGGAGGTATACATCTAGACTAGGTCTGACAGTCTTTCCCACATGGTACTTGGCAGCCAACATCTCAGGAAGCACAGGGGGTGCCCTTCCAGGCTGCCCAGAAGTGGCTGAAGATGCTGCCTTCAGGGTCTGCCTGCTGAGATGTCCCTCTGGGGGTTTGTACCTTCTGGGAGCAGCACTCTGACCTTCCTGCTGGTCACCTCATTGTCCCAGATGAGGACAGGTGTCCCCTTTGTCATCTAAGCCAATGCATATTTTACACATATCTGTGTCTCGGGCCTTTTGTCATGAGAGATAATTCATAACCCAGCTCTGTTCACCAGGTCCCATCTGCTAGGAATTGAAGCTCACCATAATTAATATACAATTCTGAGCTGTTTATATTTAATGTCATTAAAATTACACCCCCACACTAGGACATTATGAAGGTTTTTTTTTTTTTAAGATTTTACTTATTTTATTTGACACAGAGAGAGAGAGCACTCGCAGGGGGAGTGGAAGGCAGAGGGGGAGGGAGAAGGAGGCTCCCCGCTGAGCAGGACCCTGGGATCATGACCTTAACTGACTGAGCCACCCAGGCGCCCCTATGAAGATGTTTTTAAGAAGCCACCCAGAGGCCCTTGATCTGGACCTGCATCCCATTCTGTATGCCATGCAGGGGCTCCATAATGCACCATTGCTTTAAAAAAGTACAGTACGCAGCTTGCACACTAAGGATCTCTGACGTCAAGCCTTATTACGGGAGCCGGGGAGCTTTAAGGGAACATTTAGTTAGGACTATGTCAGTAGCACAGAAGAAACGCTGACTGTGATAAAGCAAAAAATGGAAAAAATATAGATAAGGATACACGTGTGCCTCTCAGCGTCCACAGACAGGGCCTTAAAAGCAAACTACCAGGAGGACCTCGGACTCAAGGGGGACTGCTTTGCACCGGCTTCTTGCTTCTTTACCTCCACACTCCTTCGACATGGCAGAAGGGCACAAGCACTCACAGCCACCAGTCTCAAACCCAAATTCTTTTTTTTTTTTTTTAAGATTTTATTTATTTTGAGGCCCCTGGGTGACTCAGTCGGTTAAGTGCCAGCCTTCGGCTCAGGTCATGATCCCAGGGTCCTGGGATCAAGCCCCACATCGGGGTCTCTGCTCAGCAGAGGGTCCGCTTCCCCCTCTCTCTCTGCCTGCCTCTCTGCCTACTTGTGATCTCTCTCCAACAAATAAATAAAATCTTTATTTTAAAGATTATCATGATAATCTTTTTAAAAAGATTTTATTTGACAGAAAGAGAGAGAGAGTAGCAGGCTTCCTGCTGAGCGAGGAGCCCGACGCGGGACTCTGGGATCATCACCTGAGCTGAAAGCAGACGCTTAACCGACTGAACCATCCAGATGCCCCTCAAACCCAAATTCTTAAGGAAGGGATTCTGATTGGCCTACCTTAGGTGAGGTGCACTGAACAATCGTCTTAAGCCAGGGATTGGAGATGAGGGAGGCAAGTCAAGTCGTGTAGCTGGGACTGTTCCCAATGCAAGTCTGCAGGTGCAAGAGCGGGAGTCGGGGCAGGGGCGGAAGGAGGAGAACATCCACCCAGAAGCAGGGGCTGGACGGACAACCCAGGAAGTATTGACCATAGGTCAAATTCAGGCTTTCTTCAGGAATGGAAGCAAGGGGGAGTTTTAATTTGCTTCTGAAATCACTCAGCGTGGCCCATCTAATTCACTTTCATTGGTCTTAATTTGTCCAATTTAACTCTGTGCGTGCGCATGCGTGCAAACGTGCCTATTGATAAACTATTGAAATGTGTCAGTGCTAATTAGTAAATTGGTTACTAGTGACCGCAACGAGAGGTAAAATGAATTACTAACATAAATTCTAGTATAAACTTTATCAGCCAAATGCTGGAGGATGTCATGGTGAGAAAAGAACCTCTTGGACAATTAAATGTAAGGAATATTCACAGTCCAGTCCCCTGGGCAGGGAGGTACTTGAGATTTAGGAGAATCGCTGATTTATCATTCTCTTCAAATCACATCATTGCTTCTATTTCGGTTCTATTGTTTCAACTTTGATCCTACTGCTCATGCTCTGAAATTCTTGTAAATAGTTAGTATGCAGAGCTTTGATATTTATACATGCATGAATTTATAATAAATTATGGAAATAACCACATAAAATGAAGAGACAGCAAGATTTGGATATATTTCTTAAAGCTTTCAGCAAATATCATAGCCACAATTCTTCTGAATCATAAACATACATCTTCTGAAATTATACCAAAAATAGACTTCAGCCTAGAAATTTGCTGGTACTGATAATGTGACAACAGCAAGGAGCATCTTTCCATATTGTGCAAGAACTGGAATAAAATTTGCATTTCTAAAATGACAAACAGTTTGATTATTTCAACCAAAATCCCGAGTAGCTTAGTTTTGCTATTGCCATAACTGTTAGACCCAAATGGTGCTCACAGTTTGAATCATTAAAAGTTAAAACTTCTAAACACGTATTTCGCAGGAATGGCTGTAATGTTCTGCTAATGCTAACAGGTGAAATAAAGAATATTTGCAAACATCACTGAGATAAATTGCAAGGAACATCGTGAGGCAGTTTTCCCGATAAAGCATCTGAAATATTAAAACTCCTAAAAGAAATATTTTAATGATGTGAATGATAAAGAAAATGAAAATTTTTAAATTTTAATCCAAAACTTAAACAAGGGGTGCCTGGATAGCTCAGTGGGTTGGGTGTGCCAACTCTTGATTTCAGCCCAGGTCATGATCTCAGGGTCATGAGACTGAGCCCCACATCGGGCTCCCCATGCTGAACGTGGAGGCTGCTTGGGATGCTCTCTCTCCCTCTCCCCTCCTCTCTCTCTGCACAGCCCCCTCTAAAAAAAAAAAAAGTACTTAAAAGTACTAAAAAGAAAAAAGCCTCAGAGTTGACTCACATTGAGCCAAAATGTCCCAACTCGTTCATCACCTGATGGGGCTGCGCTGCAGGTGTGACCCCAGATGGGCTAGGCTGTGGTCAGGCCGAGGCCCTGGAGGCCCAGAGAGCTGGAGGCTGACCAAATTTCCCCA